GAGATGCTTGTCAGTGTAAAAGCTGTATGGGAGGAAAAAACCCTGTTGCATTAAAACAGAAGTTGTGCTACAGAAAGGTAGATACAGTTTTATAGATCGTTTTACATGTGAGCAATAACCAATGCTTCCGACGTAACAGTTTTAGGACTACAGAAAGAGGTTAGGGGTTGGGGGTTTTTTGGGTGTTGGTTCCCCCCACCCCGAGTTAAGATGGGGCTTTTCTGTGAAATACTACAGACATTGCATATTAGGGTCTCAATGTTGTACAGTTACTGATTTTTAAATCTGAATTATCTTCAAACACCTTAGTTTTAATCACCTTTTTCAAAGACTGCTGGCCAGCTCATCTCAGTGCCAGAGTAAAGCATGAGGGTTGAAGAGCTTGCAGAGTGCTTGCTCTAGGTAACTAATTGGCTGTAAAAAAAAAATAGCACAAACTGTGGGCTGGAGTAGTTAGGAAGGTAATTATAAATTCAGACTCTGTTTCCTGTCTCTAGCTTACTGCCATGGCCCTTCATATGACTACAGCTATAGAAATCGGGGGTATGTCAGCCCTGGTCTGGAGGGGAGAAGGAGGAAGGGGGAAGTGGGGGGTCGTCATTTACTGTAACTGCCAGAAATGAGTATGACCTGTCTTCCACGTTTAACTGAAACGTAAAGGAACTGGCTTCAGAATTAACTGCTGCTGGTAAATGAGCACTGCCATCTCTGATACTAAAGCAGGAGTAAGTTGAGTATCCATTTGTGCAGAGATGTTTACAGCTGTTTTATTCAGCACACAATGAGATTTCAGTCTCTCATTGAGTTTATGCAAGGAATGGCACCACCCCAAATGGAGGGTGACATGCTGATCGCTTTTGCAGTCTACCAGCTATGAGCAGACTCTTGGAAGATCATAGAATCATAGAATTGTTTAGGTTGGAAAAGCCCTTTAAGATCATCGAGTCCAACCGTTAACCTAGCACTGCCAAGTCCACCACTAAACCATGTCCCTAGGCGCCACATCTACACGCCTTTTAAATACCTCCAGGGGTGGTGACTCAACCACTTCCCTGGGCAGCCTGTTCCAATGCCTGACAACCCTTTTGGTGAAGAAATTTTTCCTCATGTCCAACCTAAACCTCCCCTGGTGCAACCTGAGGCCGTTTCCTCTTGTCCTATCGCTTGTTACTTGGGAGAAGAGACCGACACTTGCCTCCCTACAGCCTCCTTTCAGGTAGTTGTAGAGAGTGATAAGGTCTCCCGAGCCTCCTTTTCTCCAGGCTGAACAGCTCCAGTTCCCTCAGATACAGAGCTATAAGAAGGAGATGAATGACATCAGCATCTTCACCATCGCTAACCCTTTTTTTTTTATTACTGGCCAGTGGGTTGAAGGTGGGGCAGCCCTTCCTGGGTGTGCTGAGAGGATGCATCATTGCAGGGTAAGTAGAAGAACTCACAGCCCTGCTGGCGGAGACATCTGACAGCAGCTAACATGAAGCATGCACATTGGCAGAAAGGCAGCTGGCACTAACATTCACCAGGGGAAGTTTTACTGCCAGCGTGACCACAGCAGGCTTTGCAAAGCCACTGTTTAGCCATTTGAGAACCAGTTCCCCTTTGTAAACTGGCTATCGTATTTCTTAGGAAAATTAGCAACCTGTCCTTCCACCTTCAAGCCCAGGCAGGGTAATAAAAAAAGAAAAACAAACCCCCAACCCAACCCAAAACATAATTCCTTGGTTAATCTGTGCTGACACAGCCTCCTGGATCCCATCCTTATGCAATTAACCAAGTTTAAATACTTATAAGAAAATACATGTAAACTGAAAATATGTGTAAGTTATGAAAATGGTACAGTTAGTCATGCACTAGAAGGAAAATAAAACCAAGATACAATATAAAGATATAAAACTTTATTATGAACATATTTAATAATGATTATGCACATGAAGTCTTCCAAGAAACTGAATACCCAACTTTTGCTTAAAGTAAAATACTGGTTTTTCCTTCATATTCCATATTGGCATGAAGTTTTCCAACATAAATGGATAATTTGCTGTCATTAACACAACTCCTAGACACATACGATATTTAACACGTCCTCATGCACACTTTCTCAAAGCAGCATTTAATTACAGCTTCTCATTAAACAGAGCATTTATCTTACACATTTTTATACCATTTTGGTACACAATTTTTCCATATTTTCATTTTACATATTTACAAACTTCTAAAAAAAGTTTTACAGTAATGCAAAGGTTATTACTGGCATAAGCAAAAGGAAATGGGGGGAAAATTAGGTGACTGGGGATACAAAGTTGTCTTTTGGCTCAGAGGAAGACAACAGATCAAAGTCGTTCCTAGCTGGAACCATCCTTCCATTTCCCCAGCATTTGTGCCGCGCGTCTGTTGCACTAGCTGTTCCTTACTGGTGTTAAGCCTTATGCTTCCTGTTTGCCAGTCCTAGGAAAGTTTCCAACCAATTCCAACACCAACTGTATTTTTAAAGCAAATACTACAGAAAATGGTTGCCATGAATGGCTCACACTCAATGCTTATTGATTCCTTAGAAGTCCCTCTTGATCACTGTGTACATGGAAGTCTAATAGACGACATCTCCTTTAGAGCAGGAACACTGTATACTGCGGGGCTTTTTTGCATACTTTTCTCATTTTATACAGTTCCACTAGTGATGGAAATACAGAATTACTGTAGCAGTAATGAAAGGAAAGCCAGGCTGGTTTCTTACCCAGATCTCTTCTGTCTCACCCTTAGGTTGCAATACTTTACTCAGAGGTGAATCTATGCCACCTACTCCCAAGCTGTTTACAATCTATATTGTAATATTCCTCAAATACCGTCTCTGCTTTCCAATTGTGGAAATAAGAGGAGTGAAATTGAGATGTCTTGCTAGCAAAACTATTTCCTCATCTGCTTCACCGCTTTTGCCTTTTTACTGTATATTGAACTTGGTGCGACAGTGCTTCAACCAAGCTTACCATTACACTCTAGCACTTCTGAAATACAAAACTATTTTGCGTGGCAAGCGTTGCTTAAACATAATCTCTAAAAATTAACAAGGAAACTATTTTCTCACTATTTTTGTAGTGACATACTTATTTTAAGTACACATTTCCCATTCTCAGCTTTCGTGTCTCCACTTTGAATGTAGTCATATAGAAAAGTTAATGCAAACAAAACGGCAAGTGAAATGGGCTGAGAACAGCTTAGAAAAAAATCATCGTCTCAAAGTTAGATTAAAAATACTTTCTTTAGTTAACAAAATTCCAAAGCATGACACTGTATTTTGGGGTTAACTGTAACAACCAGTTCAGACTGTGATAAGAAAGTATACTTTGCACATTGGTCAAATCAAACATTCTGTCTCTTCAGAACAATTTAGAACAGAATTAAACAATATCAGAGCCAAAAAGATCTGAATATATAAGGATCATGTAAATACCAATTTTTGAAGCCCTAATTCCTGTACCCACTGTTACTCCAATGGAAGTCAAAAGGATTTGGGGTGTGCAAAGGCTGCCTAGTTGGCTCCCAAGTCTGACTCTGCAAATTCAACCAGCTGTAAGCCTCGAGAGTCACCTGGGGAATGGTAAAAATGAGAATGGGCTCTCCTCTTCTAGGATACAAAGATCGTCTCCCATACTTGTTAAAGTCTAGAAGGAAGTGCTGAAGGTACAGCTTACTACAGTTCACTGGGAAAAAAGCCACACCACCACTAACTTGAAATACTTCTTTAATGTTTTCCTACATGTTCTTCTAAACTGACACCAATTAATTAAGAAATGAAAAAACCTTCCCTTCACCCCCCAGCAGTTTCCTTGCTTTAGCCATACAATAGCGCTTTGGCTTCTAGCAAATACACGATCCCCGGTACAGAAAGTTTTAAATTTCAAATACCCTCAAAAAATTTCACAGCTCCGCATAATTTTATAAAGTTTTCTCCCTCTCACACACAGAGTATCTTACCACACTTGTCTTTAGCAGAGCACTGATTTAATCGGAACTGTTCTATGACAGCAAGGATGCAACCACATGAAGCAGTTACTTTGGTCCTCTCTAAGCAAACTGCTATCCTGTGAAGTCTCCCCTTCATGATCTGGAACAGCTACCAGGAGATTATTGCAACAGTCTGGAACAGTTGTTGCAAAGCAGAACAAATCTACTTTTTCCCCCCAATATGATTCGGCAAGTCTAGTAGGACTTCATCGCACTCTTCCGCTTAAACTAGTTCAATGATGAGCACAATTCCTTAGTGTAAGCCAGCACCATTTTCTGTCTAATACATTAACAGTGCTTTTGAGAGTCTTTTCTACAGCAGCAGGGCAGAGAAATTTTACAAGAGTAAATCACAGTTACAAATCCATGAAAAAAAAGATACTTTCAGACAGGTCAAGTACCTGAAAACAGAAGTAGTTAGAAACAGCATCCACTTAAATAAAGAACTGAACAACAGTGTAGGAGAAAACCAACTTTTAAATAGAGAAGGAGCAGCATTGTATTAGGAATACTTAATTCCCATATAACTCTGTTCCAGCACAGACTGGAATGCAGATAATCACAAAATGTGCTAGTAAAAGTTTCGATCAGTACAGGTGGCGACTGTGGTATGACAAAGAAGTTGAACTATGCACAGAACATGCTCAAAAGCTAACTCTCATGCACATTCAATACATGAGCAACCACAATTCTTCCTAGGATGTAGATTAACTATCTAGTAATACAACTTAAGGAAAAATTCTGATGTACAAAAAGTCTCTGAAAATGAAATGTTTGGAAATTTGAAATTGTAATTCTCTATGAAACTTTCATACTGTATTCTCTGTAAGTGTAACAATCTCCTCCAACATACAAAAAACCCAGAAAGAAGGCTTCCTTCTGAGACCTGTTGCTGCCTAAATATTTGCATTTGAAAGGGCTGTTTAAAAAAACAAAACAAAAACCAAAACAAACACTTCTGTTGTGGCGGGGGGGGGGGGGTGGTAAAAAAAAAAATAAAACATATAATATAGAAATAATTTTGCACCACTGAGGCTATTTTGGCTCACTAGAACTTGACTATTTGCACATATCTCGCACTTACAAATCTGGTAAACTCATTTAAATGAAATTAAAAAAATGGTCTTAAGTCTGTATCGCTTCTTTGAAGGAAGAATGGAAAGCTTGTGTTTTCTTACATTTAACAAAAAAAGAAAAAAAAGAAAAAAAAAGAGATAACCCTAAAATGCTTCATTCCATGCCTCCAGCTCAAAAGACTAAGGTAGAAAATTGAAAGGGAAATGAGGCACTTTGTACAGCAGCAGACAATATACAAAGGAGCTATCACAAATGCAACAGATGAATGACAGTATGCTGTACATAATCCTCAAAAAAACCCTCCCAAAAATCCAAGCAGCAAGGAAGCAATTTTAAAATCAGCATATAATCAGTGACACTTCTAAATGGAAATAGACTTCAAGAGTTTAGTCCACAGACATCCTGCTATCAGGCATTTTATAAGACGTGTAAAAATTTTGGTTTCTTAAGTGTTCACCACAACCTTTTCAAGCATTCTTTTTTTCAGTTTTAGCCTTGTAAACAGCAACAGAAGCAGGATGTCCTTCCTGGGAGTCGGTGTTCAGATGACAGCAGACTGTAAGGAAGCCAGGGAAGCTGTCCATCTAGGAGAACTTCAACATTGGTTTAATTCCAGCTGAACAAGTCTGTCTACATCAAAATCAATCACTGTCCGATTCCTCTTTATACTTGGCTCTAATAGCTTGGCCATTCTGAAGTGGCATTTCTTCATAGTCACTCCTGTGAAACAGACACTTGTTAAAAATTCTGAACACGGTGTTCAGATAGGAAGTCCAAAATAAACAGGAAAGTTCTAAACTACATTGAGGCATCAAATTGTTATTTGGGTAAGAAGGTGGTATCTGTTTTCCTTCCTTGTTGGAGATATGAGCGATACATGTGACTTCTCTCCAGAGGATGATGCATAATAAAAGTTATTCCAGTAACTACAAGCCACTCTTCACAAGGATCAGTACAGAAGCAAGCCGGTACTACCACTACTCATCTAACTAAACAAAGGCAAGCTATCTCAGACAACGCATATAGCTAGCCCAGCACAAACTTATTCAGGTTACTGCAGTATTAACCCCATCCTCACTGTTCCAACCACTTCAGTGTCCTTGGTAAGAGGTGAAAACATCAAGGGCAGATGACGCGTTTGTTCAGTGTCTAGCACAGAGACACCTGATCTGAATGGGTTTTAAGTGCTGCTGTAATTCTCATATTACATAAACTCACACAAGTCCACCAAGTTTTGCTAGATTTGATTATGCTTACTTCAGTAAGTGATGGACACTTAGGAAGAGCCACTATCCTTCTCTGCAGCATTTACATATGAGCTGCCTCTTTGCTAACTCCACCCGACTCCTGCAATCCTTCCCAGTTTAAAAGGAAGTCCTTTCCTTTCACGTCTCTTGCTGCCTTCACTCCATGACCTACCAGCATTCTAATACTTTCTTACCTGTTTGTATCAGTGCCATGGCAATCCCTTTTAGAAACCAAAAAAAGAAAAGACAAAATAACATGCATTCTCATTGCATTTCTGTTTCAGAGTAAGGTTATGTTTCTGTTCTTTAGGCAGAATACTTGAACAACCTACAAAGCCTTCACTTATTTAATGAATATAGAAAAGGACATTACAAAAATAACACACCAAAAGTAACTCTCCATAGGTATTTTATAATCTTACCCATAAATCACATCATCATCTGAATCATTCAGCATAGAAAAAGCAGGATTGTCTTTCAACTGTGATTCTGGAAAATACAAATAAGGGTTAATTTAGTGCATTAAATATAGAAATGTGGCTGTACTTCTAAACCAACGCTGAAGCAACAGACTCAACAACTTCCAGGACAGTCACGACTACAATTCAACAAAACTATATCCAAACAGGAATTCTCTCCTTTAAATTCTTCACCCTTCAACCACAACCTCATGGTATTCTTAAGAGTTAAGGAGATGACATAATTATCTCATTTTTAGATAGATATTCTCTATGTTGCATAAGTGGATTTCTTCCCTTGTGCAGTTTCCGATGTCATATTATTTCAACCTGCACATAAGAGTAATTAAGTCATATTTCATTATTCTTAATCATTATTCAAAAGTTCATCTATATTTAAAAGTGCAGACTTCATTAACAACTTGGTTATTTCTAAGCTACAAATATAGTAGACCAAAGTTGTAATCCCTTGTATGCAAGTCAATGATTAGCCATGGTGACATGAAAGGAAACAGGTACTTTCCATTGGCTATTTATGACAATTCCCTCTACCTTGTTTTAAGGCCTTCATGTCTTGCATAATCTGTGCTGCTTAGCTGCAGTTCATAATTATATGTAAGTAAAAGTCAATCCAGCAATTTGCCATAAACATCTTTTTCCCGGCAGCTTTTTACTTCCTCCTTTTTATAAACTAATACTTCTTGCAAGCCAACAGCAAGTTTTTAACTTTATCCTCACCCAACCATTTGTCTTGTCTTAATGGAAAAATAGCATTTTTCTGTAACAGTTCCATCCATCTCAATTCTAGAAAGTTTAGAGAAAGGACAAGCTCCACTATTTAGTGCCTTCCCTCTGCATACCTCTCAGCATGCAAGGTGTGATTGGACAGGATGCCAGGTGATCTCATCTAGGCTACTCTTTCCCATGAAAGGTTGGACCACACGATCTTTCCAGGTCCCTTCCAACCTGGGCTGTTCTACGGTTCTGCATTTTAAACTCAATGCTTAAAGCAGAGAATGCACTCAGTATAAATACTTATTTTACAGAACCTTTATCAGTTAGAGAGGGATAATGCTTTATAATCATCATGCGAGTCAGATTACAACCTCTACGTAGGAATGCAAAACCAGAAGTGCCACTGATTCAGTCCTTTATCTCCATTTACATGGGTTCTGTGCAGCCCTCTCCCCATAGCAAGTTCCCCAAAATTCCCCCATGTTGAGATCAGCTTCACTCCTACTTTTCCAACAGCACGTTACCCATTTCAGAGTCCAGTTTGCCGGCATGCCAATACATTAACCTTCTTGTTAGAACAAGAACAAATGAAGTATTGTTGCTCCTTAAGGATTGTCTGTGAGTCAGGGCAAAAGTTAGTGCATTATATGCAAATATCATCTTGACTATAAACTTGATCTAAGTGCATCAGAATTCAAGTCTAGCTAATCAGTTGTATACATTTTATGTGTTCCTTCATATTTCCAATACTAATTTGCTCAGGAGCAGTGCAGCTTCTGCTTATGTTAACTCAAAGCAAATTGAAAGAGTAATGAGACAACCAAAATATAAAGATGTTACACAGCATCTGCTAATATGCCAGCTCTCGTCATCTAAGTTTGCCAGATAATTGCTTACACTTACCATATAGTGCATTCTTTGAGGGGGAATACACGAAGGCTAATGTGTAGAGATAAAAGTTCAATAAACCATAAAATGATAAGAATTCTGCTGGTAGTAAGTGTCAAGGATATTGCTCAATATAGCTCCATACATATTAACTTTGGAAACAAGACCCAAACCATACATAAGCTGTTTCAGTAGGAAGAATGTTTACCTTACTAAAGTTTGAGAGCATGCATGGCTGAAAAAAACCTGCATGTTCTAAATTCAATGACGACTTGTCCTGGTTCCGGCTGGGATAGAGTTAATTTTCCTCCTAGTAGCTGGTACAGTGCTGTGTTTTGGATTTACCATGAGAATAATGTTGATAACACACTGATGTTTTAGTTGTTGCTGAGCAGTGCTTAAACTAAGTCAAGGACTTCTCTGCTTCCCATACTCTGCCAGCAAGGAGGTGCACAAGAAGCTGGGAGGGAGCATAACCAGGACAGCTGACCCAAACTGGCCAAAGGGATATTCCATACCATGTGACGTC